ACAGAAAAGCATTAAAAACTGCTAGATCTGATTACTTTTCTTCTCTTTTAGAAGAAAACAAACATAACCCAGGTATTTATTCAATACAGTGGCTAAACTAACGAAAAATAAAGCATCAACAGGTGTTGACATTTCCCAACAGCACAGCAGTAATGACTTTATGAACTACTTTACTTCTAAGATCGATACTATTAGAGATAAAATTGTAACCATGCAGACGTCAGCTATAGTATCACATCAGATAGCTTGCTATAGATCGCCTGAGGAACAATTCCACTCATTCTCTACTATAGGAGAGGAAGAATTGTATAAACTTGTTAAATCATCTAAACCAACAACATGTATGTTAGACCCTATTCCATCTAAGCTCCTAAAAGAGGTGCTTCCAGAAGTCATAGATCCTCTTCTGACTATTATTAATTCATCATTGTCATTAGGATATGTCCCAAAAACCTTCAAACTGGCTGTTATTAAGCCTCTCATCAAAAAACCACAACTTGACCCCAAAGAACTAGTTAATTACAGACCGATCTCGAATCTCCCTTTTCTGTCCAAAATACTAGAAAAGGTAGTATCCTCACAATTATATTCCTTCTTAGAGAAAAATGGTATCTGTGAGGATTTCCAGTCAGGATTTAGACCGTATCATAGTACCGAGACTGCTCTCATTAGAGTTACAAATGACCTGCTCTTATCATCTGATTGTGGTTGTATCTCTCTATTAGTGCTATTGGATCTTAGCGCTGCGTTTGACACTATTGACCACAACATTCTTTTGCATAGACTAGAAAACTTTGTTGGCATTAATGGAAGTGCATTAGCATGGTTCAAATCGTACTTATCTGACCGCCATCAATTCGTAGCAGTGAATGAAGAGGTATCATATCGATCACAAGTGCAGTATGGAGTACCTCAAGGCTCAGTACTAGGGCCATTACTCTTCACGCTTTACATGTTACCCTTAGGAGATATTATCAGGAAACACGGTGTTAGCTTTCACTGTTATGCTGATGATACTCAGCTCTATATTTCTTCACAGCCCGGCGAAACATACCAATTTGAAAAACTAGCGGAATGCATAGTCGATATAAAAAAAACTGGATCTCAGCACATAGAGACTCTTTCACCTAGATATCACACTATAGAGATTGTGTCTGTTCCCCGAACTAGAAAATACAAAAAACGTCCAAACCAAATTAAGAGTAACAATTTAATTGATGTTCAACAAATAAAAAACAGATGCAATATGGATAAACAAATGATAAAGCTTGGCTTATTGAATATCAGGTCCCTTTCTACGAAAGCACTTTTTGTAAATGATATGATCACTGATCATAAACTAGATGTGCTCTGTTTGACAGAAACCTGGCTAAAACCTGATGATTACATTATTTTAAATGAGTCTACCCCCCAAGATTACTGTTATAAACATGAGCCGCGTCCAAAAGGTAAAGGGGGAGGTGTTGCTTCAATTTATAACAATGTTTTCAGTATTTCTCAGAAGGCGGGTTTCAAGTATAACTCGTTTGAAGTAATGGTGCTTCATATAACATTGTCCAGAGAAACAAGTGTTAATGATAAATCCCCTGTGTCGTTTGTACTGGCTACTGTATACAGGCCACCAGGGCACCATACAGACTTTATTAAAGAATGTGCTGATTTTATATCCGAGTTAGTGCTGGCTGCAGATAAAGTTTTAATTGTTGGTGATTTTAATATTCATGTTGATAATGAAAAAGATGCATTGGGATCAGCATTCATAGACATTCTGAACTTTATTGGGGTTAGACAACACGTGTCAGGACCTACTCATTGTCGAAATCATATTCTAGATTTAATACTGTCACATGGAATTGATGTTAATGGTGTTGAAATTATGCAGCCAAGCGATGATATCTCAGATCATTATTTAGTCTTGTGCAAACTTCATATAGCTAAAACTGTAAATTCTACTCCTTGTTACAAGTATGGTAGAACCATCACTTCTACCACAAAATACTGCTTTGCAAGTAATCTTCCTGATTTATCTCAATTCCTCAGCATATCCAATAGCTCAGAACAACTTGATGATGTAACAGAAACTATGGACTCTCTCTTTTCTAGCATCTTAGATATGGTCGCTCCTTTACGCTTAAGGAAGATTAAGGAAAACAGTCTGACACCGTGGTATAATGAGCACACCCTAAATAGAGCAGCCCTGGAAAATAGAATGCAACTGGAGGAAAACTAGGAAAACTAGAGGTATTTTGTATTGCTTGGCGGGAAAGTACCCTATCCTACAGAAAAGCATTAAAAACTGCTAGATCGGATTACTTTTCTTCTCTTTTAGAAGAAAACAAACATAACCCCAGGTATTTATTCAATACAGTGGCTAAATTAACGAAAAATAAAGCATCTTTGAACAAGCTCTTATTGCATTATAGTCCTCCACGTCCACTGCGTTCTCAAAACTATGGCAATTTGATAATTCCTAGAATATCACATTTATAATATTAAAATCCATTAAAGGATTTTTAGGCTGCAATAAATAGGACAACCGGAACCGGGAACACTTCCCATAAAACCCAATGTACTTGCTACATCGTTAGAAGAATGGTATCCATGCTAATATTAGTCTGTTTCTTTCTTACTCCGAGGTCACCGTAGCCAGCAGATCCAGTCTGTATCCAGATCAGATGGTCACTGCAGTCACCCGGATCCAGTATGTATCCAGCCCAGATGGTGGATCAGCACCTAGAGAGGACTTCTACAGCCCTGAATGTCAGCGGAGACCAGGACAACTAGATGAGCCGCAGAGACAGATCCCCAGGAAAGACCTTATCTCCTAGATGGCCACCGGGACAAGACCACAGGAACCAGATGAGTCCTCTGCACAGTGTGACTTTGCTGCAGCCTGGTTTAAACTGCTGGTTTCGTCTGGCCAGCGGAGAACTGGCCCCCCAACTGAGCCTGGTTTCTCCCAAGGTTTTTTTCTCCATTCTGTCACAGATGGAGTTTTGGTTCCTTGCCGCTGTCGCCTCTGGCTTGCTTAGTTGGGGACACTTCATTTCCAATCGTCGACTTGATTGCACAGATACTATTTAAACTGAACTGAGCTGGATGATGACATCTCTGAATTCAATGATGAACTGCCTTTAATTGAAAATTGAGTGTTTACTATTGTCATTTTGCATTATTGACACACTGTTTTCCTATTTAATACTGTAAAGTTGCTTTGACACAATCTGTATTGTTAAAAGCGCTATATAAATAAAAGTGACTTGACTTGACTTGACTGTCCAGCCCTGCTCCTCTGCCTCAGCTGCCAAGTTGGCATATTGCAGCTTCTTCCTTTCAAAGGCCTCGTTAATGGCCTCTTCCCAAGGGACCGTCAGTTCGACTATTATGACGATCCTACTGGAGTTGACCAGAGGACCAGGTCTGGCCGCAGATGGTGACTGCAATTTCGAATGGGAAAGTGAGTCTATGGATTAAGTCGACTCGCATTTCCCAGTCCCTGTCTATATTCAGCTGGCCTGCGTCAGGGGACAGACACTTAGCTTGCTTTTTCTCCCCTTCCCTAAGAAAGGACTGCCTTTTTGGTAAGGTATTCTTGGCATTTTGGAGGATGGAGTTTGTTGATACTCTCTTGGTCTCTATTGCTTCCGCCAAGCACTTCAGTACTTGATTGTGGCACCATGTGTACCTTCCCTGTTTCAGGCTGGTCTAACAAGCCTACCAGGATATGTCTGAGGTTTACCGGGGCTGCACACAGGTGGCAGGCTGGGTCTTGTCCACACCATAACTTAAAATTTGTAATGTGGTGTTTTGGGTTGTGTTTCTTGTTCATGTTTTCATGTCTTTTATTTTGGAGTTTAATCATGGTCCCTGTTTGTGTCATGCTTCCCTTGCCCTCATGTATTCATGCCATTGGTTCTCTTGTTCATTGTGTCATGTTCTGATTGGTTGTCTTAGTCATGTGTCTTGTTTCCCATTGGTTTGTTCATGTCATGTGACCCTCTTGTCTGATATAAGTAGCCATCATGTTCCCATAGTCTTGGTCGTGTATTGATGTTGTAACCCGCTGTCGGTGAGTCTAGTCTGTTATGCCAAGTCAAGTCTGTTCTAGTCAAGTCTGTTCATGCCTCATCAAGTCAAGTCAAGTCAAGTCTGTGTCTCTAGTCTTCGTCTGTTTGGATTATGTTTGGATGTTTGGATCACTGTAAATAAACTGCACTTGGGTTCTTCACTACGCTCACCTTCAGTGGACTGATTCGTTACAAAATTATTGATAATGGCAAAGGGTTTTTAATTTGCTTTGTTATAGCAAACGTCTTCATCGAAAAAAGTACGCTATTATGTTGAATAATATTTGGGGGAGCAGCATTTTAATAAGAAAATGTCATTCAAGTGTTATACAATATAATCAGATGAGACTATCGGCTTGTGAGCGTGAGGCACAAGATAACTTCAGCTCAGCCCTTTCCCATATTAAAGGGGTCATGAATTGAGAAATCAACTTTTACTTGAGTTTTTAATATATAAAAGGTCATCGTACTAAAAGAATATCCTGTAAGTTTCAAAACATCCTTCTTACTGAAATAAAAGCTTTTATTGGCACCAGGCCCAGCGAACGTCATATCCTGGAATCTATAGGTTAAACACCGCCTCCACAGAAGAATATCAACGCCTAATTCTGTAGCCCTGACTACTAATTTGCACTGATTCGTGTAGGGAAATAACATAAGTGGCGCTAAACTGGATTGAGCAACCAAGCATTAAACATGCTTAAATATTGCAAAATATTGTGCAGTGCCTGGTTGTGGAAGGACACAGGCGCTGCATAATTTTCCTTCGGATTCAAATATTAGGAATGCATGGTTGAACTTTATGATGAGTAATGAGTACTCATCTTTATGACTTTATGATGAGTTACTTAATGAGTAATGAATTTGATATTATTCAAAATGGAAAAAGGCAAGGATCCAAAAGTTACAAAAGTAATACAATAATTAACTCACCACCACTCGTGTCATATTGTCAGGGAGCATGTCAATGGACAACCTATTGGTCGGCTCTTGTCCAGTTCTGTTCTGAGTGCGTCTGCTGGGATCTTGCTGGTCTCTTCTTGTTCTCTGGATGTCTGATGGACCTCCATCAGTCTTAACTGACTGCCCGTGAATTATACCTGACATAAAAACAAAATAAAATTTAATGTTATCTTATCTAAAACATTCACATTGTCTGCACACTGAGTTAAAGTCAGCATGAAATGTAAATTTACCTAAATGCATGTTATTGATCTTACTGTGAACAATTCATACATGCAAGAGTTTCATTAAAAAAACTCCTTATATAAATCCAAGCCCACCACACTTTTTTTTTTTTCAGTGATCCATTTAACCAGTGCTTGAAGTGGGCCGGTACGCACCGGTATGCAGTACCGGCACTTCTATATTTTAGTCTTTAGCGTACTGGCACTTTTTTGTGCGTACCTGCACTTCTGACATGTTGCCGGTACTCTGAGTCAAAGAGTCAGTGTCTGGTGAAATAACAGTATATAAATCACAGTACCAGGAGGTGTCACCTCTCATCTTGAGAAATCGTGTGAATGAATGCAAGCGGAGTCTTGTCTGACTACTGAGCTGGTGGTGGTTGAGGAGATTCCCCCCTTCTATGTAAAAGCGCTTTGAGTGCCCAGAAAAGCGCTATATAAATATAAGGAATTATCAATTATATTATTATTATTACTGCAGGGGTTGTCGCTTTTCCACTTTCTGGCCAGTGCGTGCTAGCCAGGGCTAATGAACCGGGTGAGTCCAATGCTGCGCTTCCACTGTCGGACCAGCGCTACTCTAAAAACCCGCCCTTAACACGCCTTTCTAAAGCAAACGGCACACAGCATCATTTCACCAGCGAGGGGAAAATGAATGAATGTCAGGAGAAGTAGAATAATAATGAATTACTAATTTGAATCAGTACATTATAACGAAAACAATACCTTAAAATGACAAGAAGCAGGTTTTTGCGATCATTAATGTAAACCGATAAACTCCAAGGAGGATCCAGTAAGCGAATTCAAACAGTTGTACAAAACAGCACTAATGAAGAGAAAACACGACCGATTTCATCAGAGATTGTGGAGAGAATAGTGACTCACGTCCAGATGTCAGTACATTATTCTTTTCATTGTTTATTTGGCTTAAAAGCAATAATGTTTTATAATGGCCGCTGGCTGGCTGAGGTGCTATGCGTTGATAAGAAGTTTAGCGATTCTGAATGTATCCAGTCAGGTCAAGGCATGAGGTTTAGTGCTCTTTGGCGTCTTCCTGTGGTCCTGTTTGGCATCGCAGCTTGACTTGTGCTTATTTTAAAAATGTTTATTTAATTATCGATTGATTGTGGCACCACACATAGCCTACATTGTGAATTATGAAAATTAAAAAGTACTTATTTAATATAAAACATAAAAATAAATAAATTGGGGGGGAGGGGGAGGGGAGGGGTACCAGCACTTCTTTTTTTCTACTTCAAGCACTGCATTTAACTAGGTTGTACAGTTGAGGTCGAAAGTTTACATACACCTTGCAGAATCTGCAAAATGTAAATTATTTTACCAAAATAAGAGGGATCATACAAAATGCATTTTATTTTTTATTTAGTACTGACCTGAATAAGATATTTCACATAAAATACGTTTAAATTTAGTCCACAAGAGAAAATAATAGTTGAATTTATAAAATCGACCCCATTCAAAAGTTTACATACGCTTGATTCTTAATACTGTGTTGTTAACTGGATGATCCACAGCTGTTTGTTTTTTTTTGTGATAGTTGTTGGAAATAAATCTGGAATCTGGTTTTGAGTGAAATAAGTATGAACAGATATATTTATTAAACATTTATAACATGTGAGTTAAAAATGGTTCACTATTTGGCAGTTATTGTGTCAAATCACTCTTTTTATTCATGCATTTATAACTGCTTATCAATGATTTATAATGCATTTGTAAATGACTTATTGGTAATTTATGAACACCTCTATAAACAGTTTACAAAGGGAACCTTAATGTAAAATGTTACCAGGTTTTCAATAGACCAAACCTTTTTTGTAAATACAGCTGCAAGCAGCAATTAGGGGGCCAAGCACTACAGAAGCAATCAAGAAAGCTAGCATCACACCAACTGCAAGAATGAGAAAATAAAGACATTTTAAGATGATTTTAGTCAAAATGACTGAAAAATCATAAATGCAATCACTAGTAATATGATTTAATGGTTCATCACTTTTGACCAAAAGGTGGAACTGTCACACAATTTATGTGGTGAGGTCAGAGTGATGTGACAATGACACACAAAGTTTGGTATCAATATGTTAAAATCAAAATGGCAAACAGGAAGTTTGGCTGGTTATGGCACAGTTAGTATAGATCAGTGCTTCTCAACTGGTTTGGTCATGGGACCCACATTTTCCCATGGTCATCGAGCCGCGACCCACCTTATGTTATATATCTCATATATATACATATCAGTGGCGAGCGGTGACTTTTTTAACCGGGTATGCTGAGTGATAAAATTAAGACCCTCGGCTTTTTGGACGTACTCAAAGAGGGATCACAGATGACAAATAAGAAACACCATGGCAGGTATCGATTTAAAAGTATTCACATTTCCTTCCTTGTTTGTAAATTAAATTCATCTCCAATCCTCCTTCTATCATTTCAGGTTTATCCATTGTTATTCGAAAACTAGAAAAATATAGATGGTTTTCTAAGTAAAAACCGCCAAATAACGTTTACACGTAGTTACGTTATACTTAATATTCAGATGGAGATGGGGGATTCCCCCCTATATGTCTCTGCATCTGCTAAAGCCTTTTTTTTTTTAATTCCCAGTGAATAGGCGTTAAAACTCCCACCCAGGTGATACTACTCCAATAGAGAATGAGGAGTTACATCACGATCTTTTCACTCCACATTGCATTTCGGGAAGGCGCCGCCATATTAGCAGGATACGCTATCCGTTCCAATGGTTACTTCTCATTCTCTAGAAGGATAACTGCTTATCTTTTGTTTTGTTTTTGCCTTTAAGTTAAACAATCATGAATTCTTCATTGTATTGTTTGCATGGAAGATAAGCTATTTTATCACACTGCATGATAATTAGATTTTTTTCTCTTAGGTTTTGTAAACCTGATTAGCGTGAAAACAGTGTCGCCCGCTGGACGCTCGCTGCTGCTTCAGCCGTCATATGGTAGATTATCCAAATAAAAGTGTGGGTTCAACAAGCTGACAGAAGTCTATCCATTTCTTTGTTGGAAACTTTTAAATTACAAAGTATAATTGTTGTCATTATAAATATTCATTTTTTCCATGGCCACGGAGGAGAATCAGAGATTGTGGGTCACATTCAGCTGTAGCATTTTAAAATGCTGGTTTAATGTACTAAGACAGTGATGCTAAAAGACATGCAGATGAGCCAGAATATTAACGCGATGTGTTTAAACGTTTAACGTAAAGCGTTTTCCTCTCTTTAGAAAACTGTAATGTAGAAAGCGCTTATGGATTAAGACAGTGATATTTAAAGTTCATATTTTGGGCTCATCTGTTTTTCTGCACATATTATGCTTTATTAGTAAGATGTGTGTACTGTCTCGGTGCATTAAAGTTCTTCTCCGATTTTATTGTTGTTTGCCATGTTGCAATGTTACTTGGCAATATTTTAAAGATATTATTATTTTGGGTATTTTTCTTGGTCTGTTATAAAGAATGAGAATGTGACGTAATGGCGTGTTGAGTTCTGGGAAACTGCTTTGTTTATCTGCCATACTTGCAGGATAGCGATGCCTTTCCGCTATTGAGTTTAGGGAAGTATTTGACTGTTTGTCATGATTGTGAAAAATGTCACCAGTGTCTGTCATTCATGCTGCATTGAGAATGGCAATAGTAACTCAGATCATCGTTCTGAGAGAAAACTGGACAGTGCAGTATGTTTTTTTTCGCGAAAAAAGGGAAGGAGGTCGCGGAGAAGGTGCCGAATAGCAAATCTGTTAATGTCACTGATTAAACCCACTGACTCTCACTCAATAAAAGAATCACATTGCTGTGTGTTTTTGAAAATTTTTATTTTGTTGGTTTAATAGTTAACATTACCTTCTTTGCGAGCATGACTCTCACTAGGCTTGTGAATTAGCAGAACTTGAACAGGGGACTTTCTAAAATGCTTAAAGTGGCTTAATGTACCAAGACAGTGATAAAGACAAAATTGTAAAGCATATACTATGTGGAGATATGCAGATAAGCTTAAAATGTGAACGCAACGCATTTACACGTTAAGCATTTTCCTCTTATAAAAAGAACACGCTTAACTTTAGCCTAAGTGACACGAGCATACGCAAAACAAAGGGAACAATAACATGTTAATGTCCAAAATGTTCAGAGGATTCATGTTTCTTTATTTTCCTGACGTTTTTTTATTATTAAAATTTTATATAGCCCACGTTTTTATAACTTTTTAAATTTTTTATTTACCAATTAGGCATGTTGACAATAACGCATAGTCTATCTTCAACATGCATATGTTGTCTATGACCAAAAATGTAAGAAGATATGTTTTTAGTGGACTTTTAAAATTTGCTTTGCTTGAGAAAACATAAAAATGCAGTTACAGCATGTTTTTTCTTTTGATTTAGTCGAGTTGGTTTTGCATCAAACATAATGTGATTTTCGGCAATCGAGATCTGACAGCAACAGTGCATTTTTCTGCTTGGGCTAGCGCTTCGCGGGCAGCTTACCTCGCACATGAAATCAGCCGCAGACAAGCAAACCAATGAGAACATGCTACAATCCTGACGAGTCATAGCAATAGAGCGGAGGCGGGAAAGCTGCGGCGAATCCGCTCGCCCGGAAGCAACCGTAACTGACGTAGATTTACAGAAAATGATTGCCGTTAAGCAAATAAATAATTTTACGTACTTATTCCTAACTCTTTAAGCTTTAAGTTACATTTCAAATGACAAGGGATCAACTTATAATCATGTTTATATTAATTATCCCGTGAACTTATTCTCTCAAATGACCTGGCTATGCAGAGCATTCGCTGCTTATATGGATGGAACGCCACTGATATATATATATATATATATATATGAATGAATGAATGAATGATGCATTTATATAGCACTTTATTG